GGAGTGGGGGTGTGTGGCACGCACGCGGCCGAGACGCATTTAAACCACTCTTCCCTGAATGTGCCCACGCACCCAAGGCAGGAAAGACACAGGTACACATTTACCTTAAAGCTAGCAGTATGGTTTTCATCCTTCTTGTTCTCCAGGGACGCAGATCTTTTGTTTTCAAACATTTTAACCCTAGTGAGCACAGACTGTGGTTTCATGGCTGGATCTTCCTCCTCTTCAGTCAGAGGTGGGGGTGGAGGCAGTGGTTTGGTGATTGGAGGCAGAACTTCCGGCTTATGCTGAGACGCAGGTATAGGAGGAGGGACCGTGGCGCCGTGGAGAGGCTCGTACTGGCCTGCTTTCGAGGCAGAGCCCTGGGACGGCACTGGCTCGTACCCTCGAGGGTATTGCTCAGAGTACAGCTTGGGCTCCGAGGCCTTCGGGCCTGCGGCAGAGTAGGGCTGGGCCTCGGGTCTGTATCTGGCATGCACATCATAGCTGGGAGCGGGGGGCTCTTCGTGCCGCAGGGTGGAGGTCCGAGGAGGCTGGTCATAGCGTGGTCGGCTGTCGTAGGACAAAGGGGCTGGCTCTTCAAACCGCGGGAAATACCCTCGTTCTGAGGACTCTTCGGGATGCTGTCTGGGGTCAAGGTCGCGAGGGTGCTGATTCTCAAAGGAAGGCCGGGGCTGGTAGGGCTGCTTGTCGTCATAGTACGACCAGTGCTCCTCGTATGCAGGGATACGCTCTTCATAGCGCAGGCGATGGTCGAAGTTCCGGGAAAACTGGTCTGTGTAGCTGGAGGAGTCGTATCTGTACGGGGGCTGCTCAAGGTCTCTGCTGGCTTGTTTCTCTACGTACTGGGGTTGGGGTTCATAGCTCAGGGGAGGCTCCTTGTCAGGCCTCTGCCCCGGGTGCCCAACAGCCGGCTGCTTCAAAACAGCGTTTTGCCTCATCATTTCCTCCGGGTAAGGGTCCTTTCTATACACCTGCATAAAAATCCACCGGTGAGTACACAGGCTTGCTTTTCATTCTAGACAGAACTATGATTTAATAGGAGAAAATGGTATGTTCTACCATTTATTACCAAGGCAGGAAGAGATTAGTGGAGAAAGCCAATTTCAGTGAAAGCTCAAAATTTATAATGCTTGTATGTTTTAGCATGTGCTAAATGAAAAGTGAGTAAAAGATAATTATTTAAATCTAGCTGAAATTAATGCACTGAACTATTGACTCCACTTGATTTGTACACGGAAAATAAAAATCATGAAGAAAATTTATGGACACCATAATTTATAAAACATGAAAATGTCTACTACGATGGGTCTCAACTACTCATTAAGGAATTCTGGAAGACACTGAAAAGCAAGAAATAAAGAAAAAATTAAAAAATTCAGCACAAATCCCGATTCAAAGGCCTGCTTTCAAATCGTCAGCATACCACCGGAAGCCATGCACACTACAAAACGGAAGTGGCCTGTCGGATCAGCAGCTCTGTGGGGTGTGCGCCCAGTCATAAAGCAGAGGACACTGAGGGGAAGCAGCCATGATCACGTGCCAGATGGATGGAGAGCAGCACGAGCGCGACACGCAGCCCAGGTACCTGTGGTGGGTCTACATGCGACGACAATGAAGCTTCCCGGTCTCTGAGCATTACGGGAGCTGCCTCGGCACCCGGTGTTCTGAAAGAGCCAGCCTGTGGCGAGTGTGGGGCGGGAGGGGCGGGGGCGGGCTCCTCCAGTCTGACATGAGTGAAATCTACGTAATGAGGACCAGCAGAGGCTGATGGTGCTGGGGTTGTTTCAGGCAGAAGGGAAGGGACTGGAGATGAGGCTTCTGCTTTCTGTGAAGTGTTTAAAATACTTTAAATACAGTGTTTCTGTTCCTGCTCACTTCCCACCTCTATGTATCGTGATTGGCAAACATACATTTTACGTGTGCTGAACAACAAAACTATGCAGGTCCTACATTAAAAAAAAAATCAGTGGACTGCTGTGTACGATGAACACACAAAGTTTAGAATTAAGTCCTTAGTATTCTCAACTCAAAATTCAAAATTCACTCTGAATCTGGAGAAACAACAGCACATATTCTTTAACTCAGTCACCATATTCTAGACTCTCATAATGCACCTCTGACTACAAGACGCCGAATGCTTGCCGCTTACCTGTTGAGAGGCTGTTTTAAATCCCGGGGAGTCTAGCCTATGCACTGGCTGTGGCTGCGCTTGTGCTGAGTAAGGAGGGTATGTTTGGCTCTCATGATGCATTCCCGAGGAGTCCTCTCTGACAGGCTCAGAGGACCGTGTAATGGCAGACTCCGGCGGAGTCCCAACCTCATCATTAAGAGTTTCATCTAGTTCTTGATCAGTGTAGGCCCCGCCTTCTGTATCTGTGTCTTCATAGTCAGAAGTGTGTCTACTGTCCGTGCTATACATTGAGTATTCACTACCTGGGGCTGACAGGTAGGACAGACGATCATCATGCAAATCAAGGTCATCACTTGTAGCACCGTCCGCCTGGGTCAAATAAAAGTAAATTAAAAAATTTATTCAGTAGTTCTTTAAGAGATGGCCTTTATTTTTAAAGGGAGGTTGAAAAGGATATTTTTCTGAGAAGAAATCCCCTCTATGTCTTGAAACTTCCGGTGAGGAAAGGTCCGGAAGGCTGGACAGCACACACGCACACACCACACACAGAGCATCCTCTGAGGGCCGAAGGGCTTGGAAGAACGGAAAGCTGGCTGGCCAGTCAGGACGAAGCTGGGCTCAGGGCCCAGCCCCGGAAGACAGTGAAGGAACCCTGGCACCACCCGGGTTTATAGAGCTAGCCAGTCACTCATTTGTCAGCCCAGAGCAAGGTGAAGAAGGAGAAGGCTATGAGAGTAAGCTCACAGAAACAAGGACAGACCGACAGAACAACGCACGAGAGTAACTATGAAAGCAAAGGCCACAGTTCAAGTTGAGTAATAGCTTATATAGTCTACATAACGAAATAACTTTTCTAAAAAGTTAGTATTTGGCCCTAAGGCATTTATAAAACCCAATGGGAAAGTATCGCCTAAGTGCTGGTTGCCTTATTAAGACTTTTTTTCTTTATTATGTTTTCACAGATGTAGCCAATGGATGGTGAGGGAGCAATGCAGTTCTGCTTCTCCTTTAAAGTAATTCAGAGCTGAGTTAGTGTTTAATGGTCTATGTTACCTTCTGAGTAGGCCGGAAAGAAATGAGAAGTATTTGAGGAAAAGGGAACTAAAGAGTTGCGGAAACAGGCTGTCGCTGGATACTAACGTGACACTAGTTCGTGCATTCAGCAGGCCAGTCCCTGAAGATGGTGACAGGACACCATGGGTGGTCAGCCCGAGAGCTGAAGGGTCTGGTGTCAGAACCCAGACAATGGTTCTTCTGCCCCAGCCTCCACTGAGGGACAAAACAGGAGGCTCGAGCTGCCTGAGTGGAGCTTCCCACGGAGGCCCATGCCTGGCTCCGTATGGGCCTGACCCTGAGCACTGGGTACGGGAGATGAGAGTTTCAGGCTCTGGTTTCCAGCAGAGCGCCTGCTAGGCCCAGGACACAGAGAATCCCAGGGCTCTGCTCCATGGCACACAGTCTCACCACTAAAAGCTCAATGGCTCCTAAGTTCCGTAGAGGCTGTTGAAGAAGAGACATCTCGCTGTCTGCTCTGCTCTTTATCTGGCCAGGGTTCTGGAAGACTAGAACCCAGCAGCCAGCCAGGAATATGTTTAAGGCCATGGGGAAGAATAACCTGGAACTCACCAATCCGCCTTGCTTTGGTCATGGTGTGTGACGCAGAAGCGAGCAAGAACCAAGGGTTGCTTGGAACCAGGAAATGACACATGCCTACATGTTAAGAGAGCCTCAGGATGACTTTTCTTGGTTTAGTAGGGAACATACAAGACTGTATCAGATCTTGTAAAAAGGAACGCATTGAAGCAATTAGATCAAAGTAGTTAGTGCAGGAAAGTCAATGTGAAATGAAGTGGTTTTGCTTTAAGAACTCATCTAGTCAGGTAAATAGATGTGAGTGGAAGGAGGTGGGATAAGTCAGGCCTGATTTAAATTATAACTACTTCCTCTGATCTACAAAATGCATCAGTCTATCCTAATTATAAATGACCTACTTTCCTACTTCAAAAGTTGGGGGGAGTTAGGCCTTTATTTTTAAATCCAAGCAAAGAAAGGAAACCGTGATAATATCACAAAGAGAAATTACAGAAAATTAAGATTTGTGGATTTAAAAAAACCCTCTCAGATCAGCAGACAGTATACATTGTGCATGTATGAACTAGTTTCACTTCAAGAATCGCCAGCAGGCCATTCCCGTTGGACTTAAAAAGGTGCTAACAGGCCTGTGAAGTCACAGGCCCTTAGTATGCAGAGGGCAGCGGTCTTTCTCATCAAAGGCCCAAGAGTAAAAACTACAGCATGTCGCTGTCGAGTGGTGTAGTGGGTTTTCCCACCCTGACTGATTGCTCATATGTCCCAGCTGTTACGTCAGTTATGCAAGGTGGTCTGGGGATCTCACAGTGGTCCAGCTCCCAGAGGGGTGCTGATGAGAACACCCCTGGTTCTGATGCATTACTACAGGTGGCAAGAGCAGACACTGACGCTATAGGTAAGCGTTTGGGCCTCTCTTCTTCAGAGGCTGCGTGTTTTCGGGGTACAGGGAGGGTGGTTAGCATGCAGCATGCATGCAGGGCATCTGCAGCCAGGAAGAGGAAAGCAGGGCCATGCAGGGAACGACACAACCAGACCAGGCCAACGGGAAAGGTAACGAACAAAATAAAACAACAGAGCCTTCCTCAGTCTTTCCTGGCTACCAAAACGTATTAACACTGCCCTGACCTGAAGGAGAAAGACATTAAAGACAAAGGGTTCTTCACTGTATGCTGTGAGAAAACTATTACCTCTCTCCACAAAATGAATGGACCTTTCCCAGCACAGTGTGATCTAGAACTGGAAAGACTAAACAGATAGTAGGTATTTCAAAGCTGGCATGTGGCTGCATATAAAATAAAAATTCAAAGCCCAATAATAATAAAAAGAAAATTCAAAACCAAAATGGACGTATTGCTTCATCCAACATTTCCTGGTATATTGTAAGAACATTAACAGGTGCTGAGTGAAAACAAAAATTCCCTCGGTAAGAATTTGGGCAAGTGCTTAATTAAGCATCTCAGTCAAGTATGTTTTTTACGCAAGACTTCTCAGAGCCATTAACACGCTGGTGGACACTGCTCTCCTCAAGGGGGCCTCTGTTAGCAGCATTTCCCACCCACGCCCTGCCTTTAGAGGGCCTTGTTTTCTCACAGCAAGTCGGGAATCTCCTGTGCTGAACACAGCATTTGGGGAAACACTCGTATCACCCACCCAACTCCCCTGATTTTCAGAAGAGGAAATTGAAGCCAGGGTCCAAGTCAGGCGTCAGTCAGAAGCAGAGTCAGAACGCAACCCTGCTTTTTTACTTCTAATTTAAAAATTCTCTGGAAAGAACACCATGAATTCAACAGTTGGGAAATTTTCTGAATCTGTATCAAAAAACCCTTTCACAACCACTACATACAATTACAAAGTCCTAAAAGCTAACTCCCCCAATTACTCTAATTAGAAAACAAAGTAACTCAAAGGCACCTCTGATTAGTTATATAATTTAGTAAACAGGTTAAAAAAATAACAGGAGAGGTCTTACCTTTCCCTCAGAAACCCAGACCAACTGGTTCTGTTGCTGTTGAATTGCTTCTTTCAATGCACCATACCAACCGTCGTTCATTGAATTTAAGTTAATTGTAGCTGAAAATAAATTAACAACATCATTTTATAAACATTGCCAAAAGTCAGAATTTGTTCAAACCTGCTTAGAGCTCAATCGTCACTACCGAGTTATCTGAAAGATGGTGTTTGAAGACACAAACCTTTGAAATTCTATTTTGGCCTGTACATTTTCTTTCAATCGAATGGCACTGGTTAATACAGCAGGAAGCTCTCCACGCAAAGGTTATGTAAGTTTTGGTGTCTGAACTACACAACATTTCTGCCTACATACTGTTGCCCGACACTTTAAGCTGAAAGAAGGCCCTTAAAATACTCACTTGTAAAAAGATGGTGATTATTTTTCCGCAGTTTGTGAGACCGCTCGTATAATTTCCTGGCACTTTTCCGAGACTCTGGACACAGCCTCATTCTCATTGTTTTCACACCTTGCTTAGAGTCCGGGTTAAGGAACACTACAATTGGGTACCACTGGGCGTAATTCAGGCGGTCAACCGCATTTGGTGTCACATCTAATAAAGCATGTTTATCCTGGAGATGCAGAGAAAAAAAGAAAGAAGAACGTGAGACACAGTTAAGAATCATCACTTTCAGAAAAGGTCACAGCCTAGGCTATATCCCAATGGTAACAGACCTTTAATTGTGCTCCAAAATGTCTCAGGAGCACATGTGAGGAAATGTGTAATCAGAAGTTAATTCAATACAATTTCTAGCACAACTTGAAAAACAAAACAAAACCTTTTAAGCAGCTCACTTTTGAGATAGCCCCAATACCTGCAGGCTGACATTATCATCTAGGTTCAGTCAGACTGATGATAGGCACAGCAATTTCACATTCCTGATGTGAAGCCAGAGTGACACCACGCTCCCCATCACAGAAGTATTAATATCAAAGTGTAACCTGAATTGCACCGATGCCATGCAGACAGTCTGTTAACATAGCTGAATACTGTGTGTCTTTTTGGGGTCATCAAAGGTCATCTTTTCATGCGAGTGACTATTACAACACCCTTGAGTTACGGCTTCATTTTCTTATGATATACCACTAATTATTTTAGAAAAACTCCTTTCTACTTTCCCATTAACTAAACCCCATCCCACTCAAAACACAGCACTTACAGCTCATATGAAACAGGTCAACTTTTAGGAACTTACTTGATCTATTATTTGCTTTATTGTGTGCAGGCGAATAATGCCAGAGCTCCGCTGGTCTGTCCCAGCATCTCGCGGCTCACTTTCTATTCATGAAGTCAGGACAAAAACAAAACATCACATTTGCAGTGGTTAGATCAGAGTCTCAACTACTGGGTACTATTGTCGTGTGGGCTGTGACACTTAGTTGGGGGGCTGGCCTCCACCCTCTAGATGGCAGTATCAGCCCAGTCCCCCTTTGTCCCCCTTGTCACAAACCCAGACATGGCCAAGTATCCTTTATGGGCAGAACCGCCCCTGGCTGAGAACCTCTGGGTGACATCAACAACACCTGGATGAGGAGAAGGCAAGCGAGGCATTTGCCTCAGGAGCAAAATTTCATGGGTGTCCCTGGCTCAAACCTCAGCAGTCATGTAAAATGTGGATACAACATGTTCAAAAAATCAAAATTAATACTCCATCATGAAAAACACACCAAAAATTTTACATAGAACCAGGAAGTGGAACTTAAGTAAAAATTATTTAAGATTGTCACTTGGTCAAGAGAAACTGTCAAAGATAGCAATTCTCTCAATTGAAAATGAGATATTTAAAAAGTAGATTTAAAAAATAATATTGATGAGCTTGCTTTCATTAAAGCCAGGAAAGTAAAATTTTAAACTCCGAGTTTGATATAAATAAAATATTTAAACTTAAAATAATGTTTTAATATGCCTATTTTTCAAAAATTTTCTGACTACTTTAATGTTCTAGAAAAAATCAGCCATTAAAACACAAAAACATGTCTATAGGGATGTGCAGTTTTTTCTTTTGCCTAAGGCTCCAATATGGCTTGGTGTGGCACTTCCAACCCTTTCTGACACTGTGACATATGAGAAAATGGTATCATTGGTGTGGCACACTAAGAAAACGTGAGAAGGCCTCTCTTGGCCAGAATCCACCCAGCCACGGAGGGCTGAGGAGAGCAACGCTTGGGCTGGTCCACCAGCAACACTGGGGGCTGGCTGGGCAGTGCTGGGTTAGAGACCTTCCAAATCAGTACAGGGAGCAGGAAGCAGAGAAGGGCGCTCATCTGTAACCGTGAGTCAGCCTGGGGTTCACAATGGCAACCTCCGTAGACAACATGCCAAATTCAACTTGGGCAGATGTCTAACCAAGACCCTCATAGGTCTGGCTGACATGAAGCTCTTCATTAGAGAGGCACAGCAAGGCTGGTGACTGGTCACAAGGAAAGCTGGAGAGGAAGGGAAGAGCTCTGGTGCTTCAGATCCCATAAAGGCAGAGATCTGGAAGGCCGGGTCCTACTGAGGGTCAAGGTGAATGATGGAGACAGTGAGACCACAGTGAGGCAAAGGTCTAGGGCAAGGAGGGTGGAGTTTCAGATCTGGTGGACACAGGGGAACTGAGGAGAGACTGTTGGCGAGTTTGGGATGGAGAAAGTGCTACTCGTTCCTAAACTCAAAAGACTGCCATCAGATTCGAAGAGAACGCATATTATTAAGTGATCTATTTTATGTATACAGCTGAGCTATGTGAACCCCTTTTCTGAGAGTCTGGCTGTAGAGTAAGCCCAATTAACCCATCCACTGCTCCTTAAGATAGAGCCCTGTCGATCTCCACACTTGTGTTTCCTAAATTTAAAAACCCTAAGTTTGGTTATGGGTGCGGTCGCCACCAACTTCAGGCAAAATGCTGTCTACAGACAATGACCAAAGGAGCTCTTCTGAAAACACGAACAAACTGATGGGGAATCAGAAATCATTATTTTCTAACTTGCTCAAATTTTACTGTCATTTGTCTGCAAATCTTTTGCGTGTTGGAAAATAAATACCCTCATTCAACTTCACCAGCAACTAAATGAAAAGCAATTTAACAATAAGGTGATGTTCTGATTCTTTAAGTTAGCACTTACATAGTTTAAAAATATTCACGAGGGTCTCATACAGTGCCCGTGAGAACAAGAAAGGCATGACTCTCTGGAGAGCAGCCATAACTACACACCGCAATAGCCAGAACATGGGCATGTCCTATGGCTCTTTCCTTCCTGTCTTTGGGAATTTTCTTAAAAAATCATCATAAATATGGGAAAAGCTCTACTCTTGAGGAGTTCAATCCTTTGGGAAACAAGGCAAAGTATAAACAAGCAAACCAAATATAGAGATTCCTGCATCCTTTGTAATAATAAAATATAAATTTGAAACAAACTATATAAACAACAGAGCTAATCAAACCACAAATGGATTATAGAATAATCAAATTAAACATGGCATTATCTCTTTAGAAAGAAAACTTCTGCTGAGGTACAAACTTTTCTAAAGAGTATAAATAAAACTTTGCTGAAGTATGTCTAGGAAGGTAGGAAGGTTGGAAGAAAATACAGAACGGTAAAATTTTGGGTGATGATGACATTTTTTAACTTTTCCAAACAGAGGATATTTTTATAATTAGAAAAAAGCCAGTTTAGGTTTTTACACATAACTTCTGTAATATAACTTACATATAAGGTTCTACACATAATTTACACAAGCCAAATTGGTCGTAACTAAGTCTGTATGTAAACTACCATAATAGACAAACGCAACAAAACAAGGAAAGGACCTGTAAGCAAAGCTAGCGAGCATTTACAGCACTACCTCCTCAGTATTTGTTCTTATACTAATTTACTATACCTGTCTGCAATAATGACTGACAGCATGAATCATGCTTTTATTACCCCTTTTATGTGCTTGAGTATTTCTGTCAGCCGAATGACTGAAAGCCTTGGATTGTAGCCACACAGCGCTGGGTTCAAGGCCGCATTCTGTGACTAGCTGGCTGGGCATCTGTCACCGGAAGTTCAGCGTGAAGAGGCTGGGGTGGTGCTGCCCAGAGATGCCCTCAGGTTGTGGGTGCTGGACCTCAGTGTGGACATTTGCCTCGTGGCCATTGTGGGAGGCCGAAATGAGACCGACTGCCGAGCAGTTTGCTTGTAAAGCCCAGAGCTTCATAAACGGCGGTTCTTATTATTGAAGGCAGTTGGAACAAGAACACACTCACTCAGGTTTCCCTCCAAATTAAATCAACAGGTAAACGGCCAACTTTCACTTCCACTAGGTGAACAGGTCAGACCCGTCCTTAGAGTAACTGGTAAAGAAACACCTCCAACCTCCTGTGCACTCAGTACTGAGGCTACTTACTTGCAATCTGATAGATTTCTGGTTCTTCTCTTGCCAGCTTTTCTCTGGCAACATCAGCTATCGGTCCGAAGATAGTGACAGGCCTCAGAAATCCAGCTGGGGAGAAATGCAAATACAAAGTTGTGCAGCTTGTAGCTTTTCTTTCTTAGTCACACTGACAATAACGGGTATTAGGTGAGTTTGTGGAAAATGAACTACCTTCTCGAAGGACGACTCTTTCGTATGCTGGGAACTTTGTTTGAACTGGCTGGGCAGACAAATCTTCTCTGCTTTTCCGAAGGTTTCTCTTCGAGCTGCGAAGCCCTCGGAACCTCCAGAAGTCGGCTCGGTCTCCACCTGCTGTTTTTGGAAGTGTATACTGTACACTGGCTAACTGCTCAGCTCTGGGCAAGAGAAGATAAGAAGAAAATAAGGGCATTTCAAAAACACAATGGAAAAAGACCCGCAATGAAACTAATGTCAAAAATCTGGAAAGAATGTCACATGCAGTTTAAATCTTAATGGTTGAAGTGAAATAAAGGCGATTGCACAGGAAAGTCCATTATAGATACTAAATGCAATGGAAACGAATTCTCTACGGTTACCAAAATACCCCAGTGGGATTGAAATCTTCTGTCATTGTTTACTTAACATGTTCTATGAGAAGCAGCCAAACACACATACCTGTTCTTATTAGGGATGATGCCTCGCTCTACCTCCTTATGATTTTTGCCAATTCGAATAGCAAGCCAAGAGCCCAGTTTTCCATTGTACAAGGTATCCACGACACGGAACACCTCTCCTTTGTTAAAACTAAGTCCATACGGAGATTCCTTTTCATATTCAAAATGGGTTCTAATATAGAAAGAATCGCCCACATCTGATTCTACGATGCGACGGTAAACTACAAAGAATCAAGACAAAAATGTTATCAATAGCTGGGTAAGAAATTCACCTGAAGAGAATACATATGTGAAGATGCTGGTGGTAATATTAGCAGCAACAAAAACAGTAGCCTTATTATGTGTCAGGTACTGGATTAAGTATTCTGTCTCATGTATGTCACCACGTCTCACGTTACCCCATAAAACAGGGACTCTTAGCACCTTCGTTTTGCAGATGAGGAAATCGGTGCAGAAACAGATCGAGCAACTTATCCAAAGCCACGCACGTACTTTCTATTTAAATCACCAAACTTAGTTCCCTGCAAACATTACAGATTTTCCATTTTCAAAATGAGTTGTTCTCAAATGAGGGCAATGGTGCTCGCCCAGGGGCTATCTGGCAATCCCTGAGACATTTCTGATTGTTGCAAATGTGTGTTGGGAGAAGGATGTGTGTTACTGGCATCTAGTGAGAAGATGTCAGGGATGCTTCTAAACATCCCACAATGCACAGGACAGCTCCTACAACAAAGAATTATTGGGCCTAAAATGTCACCAGTGCCGAGCGGACAAACCCTGTTCTGAATGAAAAGTGTAACTGCTTAACCACAGAGCAGCTCAGGCATTCTCTTGAGCAGCGGTTCTCAACCTTCCTAATGTTGTGACTCATTAATACAGTTCCTCATGTTGTGGTGACCCCCAACCATAAAATTATTTTCGCTGCTACTCTATAACTGTCATTTTGCTACTGTTATGAATCGTAATGTAAATATCTTTTTGTTTTCTGATGGTCTTAGGCGACCCCTGTGAAAGGGTCATTCGACCCCCAAAGGGGTCATGCCCCACAGGTTGAAAACCACTGCTCTTGAGTTAATGCTAACAAGTTCAGAGAGTGCTGCCTAGAAAACACCAGTACAAAATTCGGAAGCTACCCATCTATACTTCTATGTGGTTCTGACGGCTAATAAACGAACAGGATTCTTCTATGCCTTGCACAGGCTTGGATGGCCTTGTCCTTAAATTAGAATGCCATGATGCTTGCTTGGTCCCAAGACTGTGCTGTGCCAGGGAGCACCTACATGACTTAACATAAACTCCGAGATTAACAAATTCACTTATCACTCAATTTTGAATGATTTACTTAACAAATTTGATTGAAAATCACTATGTAAGCCCTCAAATTTCTAAAGGTTCATTTTCTACATTTTCTAACAGTATCTCACCATCCTTCTTCTTCTGGGCCAATATGGTCACCTCTTCGCCTTTGGGGAGGTCTAGCAGGAAAAGGACAGCTTCTTCTCTTATGATATTTGTGAAGTCTACATTGTTTACCTGTTAAACACATTTCACAAATTACCCATGGCCACATTTAAAGATTATACAAATATTTATCTACACAGGAAACCCACGTTCTCAGAGTTTACCCAATTTAAACACATCACATCTTTAATAGGGAACAACTTTATTTTACTTTGGAGGGAGAAATATACTCTCATTTAAAACAAGTAGAAACCGAGTCCATGAAGGGAGTGAAGGTGTAAATTCATTTAAAGAGCAGTCACATGCACCCTGACATGAAAGAGCATCCCTTGCAAGAACTAACCGATTTAGCCCTAAAAAGACAACTTACAATACTTGTAAAGGCTCTGGCTCTAAAATATGACATGGCAAGTTCTGTGAATATGCCAGAGGGCCCTCCTTCTTACTGCTCTCTGAGAAAGGAGCCAGAAGGCCCGAGAGGGGAAGCAGCGGCGTGGGCACTGCGGTGTGCCTGTAGGAGTATCTGCACGATGTGGGCTCAGGACCTGCCCATCCGTGCCCACTTACAGCAGAAGCTCCTAAGGACCAAACCGTCATGAGTGACTATGCAGCACTGCAGGCACATTTTCTTTGCATCTTTTGGAAATCTCCCACACGATATAAAAAGTATAAAGTCAACAGGCACAACTTTTATGACACAAAGCCACACAAACCATTCAGAAATGTTTTTCAATGATGTGTGAGCCGATTATGGCACACAGGGTACAAGGTAAGAGGAGAGGTCTGTTTACCTTCCTCAGCACAGCGGACACTGTTCTACACGGTGTGTCTGAGGATAGTGTCAATGTAATCAGGAGGAATCGAGACTGAGCAGCAAGAGAGAATCAGGGGGCTGCTGACATCCCCCAAGCTTTAGGAGGATCATCAAAGAAGGCTGGAAAAGAACTGGCAAGATCAGACGAGTACCAGGTGGCAGTGTTGTAGAATGCACGGGAAAGCACTTCAGGAAGTATTATTTCTGGCCTTCCAAACGCTGCTCAGAAGTTCAGGAAAATGAGGGCTGAACATGACACTGGGTTAAGGGTGGCCTGTGACAGTCCAGATTCAGTAGTGATTACAGTGGAAGCCAGATTGTAAAACTTTATGACAGCACAGACTGAAAAGGAAGCAGGAAGGGACCCAACAATCCCTTCCCTAAGTTCAACAGCCAAAGGACAGAAAGGAGGCAATGGAGGGGAAGAGGAGCCAGGAAAGGGACAGGGACAAACGTGAACAAAGCAGCATGATTCTGCAGTAGCAGGAACTGGAGACCAGGACACAGGCATGAGAGCCTGACACACGGTGACACCAGAACGGAGGTGACAGTAACAGCCTGAGGTGGAGAGGTAGGGACAATGAGGAAACTCACTAAAGAGATTTGATCCTCTGATAAAGATGGCTTGCCTGCCAGGAGTTTTGGATATTTTAAAAAGAGAAGAGATGGCTAAAACTGTCACTATGTTACTTGCAACACTGCTTGGAAACGAAAGAGAAAAAAACCACCAAAGACAGAAGGCCCAGTAGCAGAGCACATCTACACCAAGGCCCTGACTCTTGCGGAGTATGGGCCTCGCAGCCAGGCAGCGTACCCATCCGCCTGATGTGAGCCCCATCTCCTGAGCCTGAGCCTGAGCCATGACTGGGGACAAAGGAGGGCCCAGGGCACCATGCGGACTGCTGCAGAACCAGTCCCCTGGGACAGCAGCACTTGACCTTGGCCTACTGGCAAGTCGTGGCTCACGGCAGTCCTGCCAGCCTGAGGGTGTAGCTGAACTTACAAAGATGAGCTGGTGCAGGTGATAAGAATCTCAGATTGATTTTTCTGGGTAGGTTCTATGAACACCAGTGATTAAAATGAAACCAAAGCGTCACACTGTGCAGTGACACGCACGCACTGGTGAACAGGGGCCAATCCAGGTCCGGCACCACAGAGACCTATCTGCTGGGTTCTGAGTGTGAATGTTTAATGAGACTGTCACACAGGCTCCACTCTAATTACCACAGTAGGTGTGCTCTGTTTGATGTCTTTTTCTAGAGACCCAAGTGCTTCAAACCCGCAGAAGTTGATATGCTGACATACCCTGAGAATTTGATCACCCTCTTCTAAGCCTTCTTTGGCTGCAGGGCTATCTTCCAGAACGCCAGCTACAAATATTCCGACATCATTTCCACCAGCCAGCCGCAAACCAACACTATCGCCTTTTCTAAATTTTACCAATTTCATGCTGGGCCTGTTAAAACAAATATCTCATTTGAATCAGTTAAGAGAGGCTTGAAAAGTTATTGCAAATTGCTACAATGAAAAGCATATTCACAATGAAACAAAGGACCATCACCTCTGAAATGTCCCCCACACCGCTAATTTACTGAATAAAGTTTCATTGAGTGTTAGCATTCCACATCAGATTTCATAACATTTTCTTTTATTTTCTGAGTAACAAAATAAGTTTTAAAATATCCAAATATAACATGCAAGTACTGCTTTACATACTAATTTATAAAATTACAATGCTTTCCCAACTCTGAGTTGGAAATACATGGTACATTCCTAATGGCTTAAAAAAAAAAATTTTTCCGTTTCTTTTTCTATCCCACTTCATACCTTATCATTTCTACTGAGTAACTGAGAAGTACTGCTTTATAAATTATAGGCAGAAAAGGAGGCACAAACTGACAGGTTTCCCTGACACCACGGAGCCAGAATCAGGCTCTAAGCTGTGTGATCTCTACACCCAATGGACAGTGGCTTTGACACTGGGCGGGTGGTGGGCTCTCTGAGGAGCTCCTAGCGATCACTTCCTCTGCAGCCACTGTGAATTTGAAATAAACATCACAGCATCACTCAGCATGTCTGGACTAGCCCCATGTTCAGCCTCCCCCTCTCTCACTACCGAGATAAGGGGAAGGAAGTGATGCATGCACAGCCCTCTAAAATCCGTGCAGTGTCAAAACCCTGTGCCACTCCTGAAACCAACACGGAGAGATGGATGCCTTAGAAGAACAGCTGGGCAAAAGCAGACGGTAATTACAAATTCCTTTTAGGGTAATTAATTACAAATTACATATATAACTACAAATTATCCTTAGGTTTCCATAACTATCCCACATTCCTCAGTCAAGAGGACACACAATTATTTTACCTATTTTGACATTAAGTACAAAAAGACTCCTTTTCCCCTTAATTCACTAAGTAACAATGAGCCAATTATTAGAAACTAATAGAATATAACTAAAAAACACCAATCAAATAAATGAATACAGTGTTGAGAAAACAGATGTCTAGTTCTTTTAAACCAACTAAAGACTACCCTAGCTTTAGAACTTATAAGGGATTCACACCTGATCCGGCTTCCTTGTCTGGGATAACATTAGCTAGACATGAGGTCACTCACAGCCAGGGTTGGTGGCACCCTTGGTCCCTCCCTGAAACTATTTATGGTTTTATCATGAAGGGTGTAAGTCCCTTGGTTGTGATGTCATCCTACTTTTCAGGCTGAGTCAAGAGCTAAGCACAGACTCCTCGCCAACCAACGGTACAAAGCTCTTTAAACATTTCCTCGAAGGCCTGAAGATTGCAAGTCCCTGGAAGTCCTCTTCTAACACTGACCAATCTATGTGCCTCAAAAAGTAAAAACAGTGGCTACAGTCTGCATCCTTTAGCAGAATCTGGCGTTTAGAAACCAGTGATCGAACACAGTGGTAGGCCCAATCTCGGTGCCATGCACCTGACATTTTCCACTCGGCCCCACAGCAAAAAGCAGACTCCCTCTCACCTCTGCCTCTGCCCCTCACTGCTCCTGAAGCAGTAACGAACCCCCCTGGCCCACCCCACTACTGCCCCTTCCTCCATCCTCTTTGGTGTCTGTTCTTCAGGGCTTCCCCGGAAACAGGTTGCTGGAATCTAATCATTCACGTTTTCTCAAACCTTCAAGACTTATAAAGGCTTTCAAGTAATCCTTAGAAAGGAAAAAGAAGGGGATTATCTCTTCATAATTTTTAAAATTTTGAATAATCCATTACCTAATATTTAAAAACTATACAGTTTTAAACTTGTGTGATACCCATCTCTTTCAGGAACAATTTCTCACTACCTGGGTGGGTCTTACAGTAACAATCCAATTTTCTTTAGCAGAAAATAGATGAGAGCAGGGGGGTCTAGATTTAATCCACGTTAAGAAATGTGGAAGTTTTCAATTATGCACATCATGTCCCTTTTACCAGAAGACAGAGAAAGCAAATATGATAATCAAGATGGTTTGAAACCTGGTTATAATACTTACATCTCAATCCCATCAACTACGAAATATCAAGTAAAAAAAGGTGTGGGACACCAAAAACTTCAGAGTTGCTAACTAATCTAGAACAGATTCTCAAGCAGGAGTGGTGTGTCCCCTAGGAAATGTTTGGTTGTCACAACTGGGGGTTGCTGGTGGCAGCCAGTGGCCAGGGGTGCTACTAACCAGGCCCCATTGTGAAGGTCAGTCAACCACAAAAACCATGATCCGGCCAAAATGTCAATAATTTTGAACTAGAGAAACACTGAATTAAATAAAAAATAAAAACCAGCTAGGGCATTAGAAAGCTTGTGAAAACTCTGATGTCTAAATAGAAAACAATTTTTTTAATTTGTGACCTAAAAAACTAGATAGGGGACAATGGTGAGAAAGCTGTAAACATCCAAAAAGTTCCTATTGTTCTCTAATCTCTGCTTCTATCATATAATTAAAAAACGAACCCTAATCATAGCATTAAGTGGTATACACTATTTTAAAAACTACATGCAATACAGTTTGCAACTGACTTCTTACTTTGAATAATGCTTAATAATGGCTAGAGAATGCACCCCAAGTTTAAAGTCACATTACCGAAGAATCCCATCTTCGTGAGTTGAATTAGGCAGGACACCATCAGATGGACTGACAGGTAAGTCCACATCTGGCTGTCCGACTTGAGCATACACAGGCTTTGGTTCTAAAAGAAAGAAAATTTAAACTTATTTAAAAAATGGAATAGTAACGTAAATAACCAGTAAGATAAGCAAACAAACAAATGTCTGCAAAATAGAAATAAAATTCATCAGTAAAAATGTTAAGTTCAGAGAACCTGATAAGGAATATTTATACATTATTAGAATATAGCTGAGAGTTATAAATTCGAATGTCTTTATAAGAAGTATGTGTGCTTCACGATCACTGATGCTTTCCACAGAATCAGCTGTTTTGTTCTTAAAAATCTCTTCTCGAAGGAAGAATAACAGAAGGAGAACGTAAGAGACTCTACATTTCTCGGTTAACACTGTCAAAACAGCCTTCTTTCTTCACTGTGGTAAAATCTATTTTTAAATATCCACATTCCTGGCACTAAACAAGCAGCACAAAACGAAGATTCGAGAACACAAACTGAGGGACATTAGAACCCAAATCTCCAGGCCGTTCAAGCAGCCGATCTCGAAACCCTGCGGACTCCTCCGTCTGATTCCACACCCAGCTCTACAAGGTACACTTTACAAAGTGTTTACGAGAACACTTTCAATAACTTATAATAAAACATTTTGTTCTTAAGCCAGTCTGTTTCTGTCATGAGCAGTGCTGGGGAACCTTACTCACTGTCGAGTAGCTTTAGCGATGAATAATTTCTATCTATGAAATGTTTTTAAAAAATCCATGACTGCCTACGGATCCATGCCAACCCTCCACCCACAGGAATGTGCTGGAAGTCGAATAGAGAAAAATTCACAAACAGGTAGAGGAGTCGCAACAGCAACTTAAGTCTCGGTTAAGTTCTGACAATAACTGCAGTTGGCCAGGGAACGTTTCCTGGACTCAGGATTTCGGGGCTCACCTGGAAGAGTGGGTGCTTGCTTCTCATTTCTTTCAATGGTCACTTCCTCCACGGGTTTAGGTGGGTGGTCATCGGCATGCTTTGCAGGAGTTGCGACGGCCCCGGGTTTAGAAGCTCTTTCTTCCTCTCTGCTCCGGACACTAAACATTCGTCAAGTACAAAATGATGAACATGAAGATGACTGTGAAAATCATTTGTAAGAGAACAGGTCTAAAAAACGAAGACAAGGGGCTTGCTCTAACAGCTATAAAATATTCTAAAAAAGTAGTCATTAAAACCAGGGTTGTACTGCCACAGAGACAGAAAAATAGATCTATGTAACAAAACAGAAAATGGGGAAATACATCCACAGTAGCAAAGCTATGAAGGGTGGCAGTCCAAAAATTGTTGGAAAAGAACATACAGTTTTTAATAAATAGTATTAGGACAATTTTCCACAAATTTAGAGACATTAGATCTATATGCATATTAATGACAAAAATACAAATTCACTTCAGATGGAATAAGTCCTGCACAAAATATTTTTTAAAAATTCGTATCACTGAAAATAAAGAACTTTAAAAGACTCAATGCATAAAAGCCATAATATATCAACAAAAGTGAGTGCATGAAAACAGAAGGCATACAGATAATTGGAAAAAATGTATGTATTAGGTTGAACCAAATGAAATGGGGTTTTTAGCTCAAACAGCTTAATATTAGCCATTTCATATAGCTTGACTCAACATATGTAATAAGAGTTCAATACTAAGATTACATATATTGACCTAACAACATATATCATAAGAATTTTATATTAAGAATATATATGATGAACTATAAATCA